TCCCTGGGGGGCTGCGATCTGTGAAACTGTCGCCACTTTCGAGGCCTGCTGGGGGGCCCAGCACAATGGGTACCCACGGCGGACTCAAATGGGACCTCGCCATCCCTGGGGGGCTGCGATTTGTGAAACTGTCGCCACTTTCGAGGCTTGCTGGGGGGCCCAGCGCAGTGGGTGCTCAAATTAGACCTCGCCATCCCTGGGGGGCTGCGATCTGTGAAACTGTCGCCACTTTCGAGGGCTGCTGGGGGGCCCAGCACAGTGGGTACCCACGGCGGACCCAAATGGGACCTCGCCATCCCTGGGGGGCTGCGATCTGTGAAACTGCCGCCACGAGGCCTGCTGGGGGGCCCAGCACAGTGGGTACCCACAGCGGGCTCAAATGGGACCTCGCCATCCCTGGGGGGTTGCGATCTGTGAAACCGCCGCCACTTTCGCTGCCTGCTGGGGGCCCAGCTCAGTGACGCCACACGCAGATTCAAATTAGACCTCGCCGTCCCTGGGGGGTTGCGATCTGTGAAACCGTCGCCACTTTCGAGGCCTGTTTGCGGGGCCCAGCACAGTGACGCCTCCCAAGTAGCTTACACATCAAGTTGATTGTCCATACAAGTTTCGGCCAACTCCTCGTTTCCATTGATACAAATGGGTTGGGCACGTCACAGGGTAATTTTTAACCCTGACCCCGCCGATCTGCGTCAGGGGCGCCACCGAATTTCAGAAATGTGGCAAATCTATGTGTTTTTACTTTGTGTTTGTGGACCCTGACCCCGCCGATCTGCGTGAGGGGTGCCACCGAATTTCAGAAATGTGGCAAATCCTTTCTGTTTTTGGACCCTGACCCCGCCGATCTGCGTGAGGGGTGTCAATTTTTACCCACCCCAGCAATTCAGAAAATACGTTTTGGGCGTGGTAAAAGTGACAGTTTTGGACCTCCCCCCCCTCGCGCGGTCCATCAACAAGGAACAGTAAGCAGCAAAAACTCAGCAAGGAACAGTAAGCAGCAAGAGGCAGAACTGTAACAATGGAAATTGGAAGCTGCAACTGGTATAGGAAACTGCGAACCTCCGGCCTACAGCCTGGTGGCCCCACAAGGGGGCCGGCGGATTTTTTTGTCAAGAGGAACACGAGTGGGGGTAGTGAGCAGGGAGGATGCGGAGGAGGAGGATGAGGAGGAGGAGGTGGAGGAGGAGGAGGAGGAGGAGGAGGAGGAGGTGGAGAAGGAGGAGGAGGAGGATGAGGAGGAGGAGTAGGAGGAGGGGGAGGAGGAGGAGGAGAAGGAGGAGGAGGAGGAGCAGGTGGATGATAAGGAGGATGAGGAGGGCGAGGGAGAGGGCGATTGGGAGTGAGGTGAGTGGGAGCAGGAGCGGGAACAGGAGAAGGAGGAGGAGGAGGAGGAGGAGGTGAAGGAGGAGGAGGAGGACCAGTGTAAACCCAAGGCTCATCAACGATGTTAGAATACAACCTCCCTCCAAGCTTCCTCTTCACAGGCTTCTAGTTGCAAGATTTCATTTCTACTGAGGGAAGTGCCCAGTTGGAAGACAACCATGTGAAAGTCCTGAAGCGTGCCCAAACACTATTCTCAGTGTTTCGACGCCCCGAGTCAATGAGTCTGTTGCGTCTTGACGATCCTGAATCGTGCCAGAACGCCATTCCTGGGACTTCAACGCCGCGATTCAATCGAACTGTTGCGCCCTGACAGTCCCGAATCACTCCAGAACACCATTCCGGGCACGTTAACATTTCAAGTCCGTGAAACGCTTGCAGATTTGTGAAACGAATGTGCGCGGCGCTGGGGCGAGAGCCACATCTTGAAAAGGAGCCGCCCTCCATCCGTGATGCTTTTGTTGCGCCTTCTCCGAACCGATGTGCGCGGAGCGAAGGCGAGACCCACACGCCGAAAACGGCCCGCCCTCCACCCGTGCAGCTCCTGCAATTTTGCACAACTAATGTGCGCGGTACTACGGCGAGAACCACATTTTGAAAACCGCCCGTCCTCAATCCGTGGAACCTCTGCAAATTGTTGCAGGTAGGATGCGCGGCGCCAAGGTGAGAGCCACCTTCTGAAAACTGCCTGCCCTCCATCCGTGAAGCTGTTGCCAGTTTCCAAGCTATTCAGTGGTAGGAAGTCTCAGGCGAAGCGCCCAACCCGCCCTTCTGTCTGGCCTCGGGGTGCGACAGGCAGGAAGCAAAAGGAATGGAGGAGGAGGAGGAGGAGGAGGAGGAGGAGGAGGAGGAGGAGGAGGAGGAGGAGGAGGAGGGGGACAACGCCGATGACCTGTCGTGCAACTGAGGAACAGGAGCACGGGCCATGACTTGTGGGCCCTGCTGGGCTGCACCCTTAGACGAGTGACTTCCCCGTCTTGGGATGCTTGCCATACTTTATGGCTTTGATATTATATCGCTGCCTAGAGGAGAAGGAGGAGGAGGACGAGGAGGAGGAGGAGGAGGAGGTTTTCAGAAGGAAATGGCACTGAGGGGCCAGGACGGGGGAATCCCGCGGGGGGCGGGGGGCAGACGCCCCATTCGAGCGCAGCGCTCAGGACTTTCCAGGAACGTTTTTTAGGAGTCACACGACCAGCATGACGCTCCAATCCTTGCCCGCGCAACCTCTGGGTGCCTTTCCCCCTCGAGCGTGCCCGGCCGAATTGGACCCACAACGAGGGAACGATGAGGAGAACATGGACGAAGGACAGGGAGGGAGGAGGGGAAGGTGAGGACGGAGGAGTCGGAGAGGGGGAGGAGGAGGAGGAGGAGGAGGAGGAGGAGGAGGATGAGGAGGAGGAGGAGGAGGAGGAGGAGGAGCAAGAGGAGGAGGAGGGAGTGGGGAGGGGGTCCCGAGGGGGAGGCCGAAGGGGACGAGGAGTGGGAAGAGGGAGCTGTGAGGAGGAGAAGGATTAGGAGGAGTGGGACTGGGTGGAGGGACGAGGAGGAGGATGAGGATGAGATTAAGGATGAGGTTGAGGGCGCGGATGATGATGATGATGATGATGATGATGATGATGATGATGATGATGATGATGATGATGATGATGATGATGATGATGATGATGATGATGATGATGATGATGATGATGATGATGATGATGATGATGATGATGATGATGATGATGATGATGATGATGATGTGATGATGATGATGATGATGCTGATGATGATGATGATGCTGACGATGATGTCGATGATGATGCTGATGCTGATACTGATGATGATGCTGATGATGATGATGACGATGATGATGATGATGATGATGATGATGATGATCATGCTGATGACGGTGATGGTGATGCTGATGTCGATGATTATGCTGATGATGATGTGGATGATGATGATGATGATGATGATGATGATGATGATGATGATGATGATGATGATGATGATGATGATGATGATACTGATACTGATGATGATGATGCTGACGATGATGTCGATGGATATGATGATGCTGATGATGATACTGATGATGATGATGCTCATGATGATGACGGTGATGTTGATGCTGATGTTGCGGATTCTGCTGATGATGAGGATGAGGATGCTGATGCTAATCATGATGATGATGCTGCTGATGATGATGAGCTGATGATGATGAATGCTGCTGCTGCTACTGCTGATGATGATGATGCTGATGCTGCAGCTGATGATGACGACGATGCGGATGCTGATGTTGGTAATGTTGATGCTTCTGCTTATGCTCATGCATTTGATGATGATGCTGCTGTTGACGATGCTGAAGATGATGATGCTGGTTTGACTGTTGATGATGCTGATGATGCTGTTGCTGATGATGAGGATGATGCTGATGATTTTGATGATGATGCTGATGCTGATGATGCTGATGATGGTGGTGGTGGTGATGATGATGCTGATGCTGATGATGATGCTGCTCATGATGATGATGCTGATGATGATGATGATGATGATGAGGATGCTGAGGATAATGGTAATGATGCTGTTGCCGTTGATGATGCTGCTGATGAGGAGGATGACGATGCTGCTGATTATGCTGATTATTATTATGATGATGATGATGCTGCTGCTGATGATGATGATGATGATGATGATCATGATCATGATGATGATGATGGTGATGCTGATCATGATGATGATGCTGATGATGATGATGCTGATGATGATGATGATGATGATGGTGGTGGTGGTGATGGTGGTGGTAGTGATGATGATGATGATGATGATGATGATGATGATGATGATGATGATGATGATGATGCTGAGGATGAGGAGGAGGAGGAGGAGGAGGAGGAGGAGGAGAAGGATGGGGGAGAGATAGAGCATGAGGATACTTACGGCGAGGAGCAGGATGGATCCGAGGAGATGGGGGTGGAGCTGGGGAGGACCAGAACTGAGTGAGGAGGGGGAGGGTTCCAGGGAACTCCACCGCCGCCGCCACCGCCTCCTCCTTCCGCTCGACATTCGATGATTTGTATATTTGAATATTTTTCATTCTTTTGGGGGGGAGGGGGGGCGGCTCCAGGGACTGTTATTGCTTTTTCTGACCATCGTCGTCGGGGTTATCCTCCGCCTCCTCTTACACGTTTCCCACCCTCTCCTCTTTTTTGCCTCATCCTGCTGGTCTTCTCCCTCCTCCCTCCTCCGTTTTTAAATGTGTGCACGGACTTTGATCATATAACCAATCGTCTAGAAGGCAGACGAAGCAACTCTGTTAGCCGATGTGGCCACAGTTCGTACGGCTGTCAGCAATCGCAGCATACTTCTTTATCGTCCTCCTGTTGCTTCTGGTCCTCGTGGTCGTCACTGTCCTTCCTCTCCGCCTCCTCCTGTTCCTCCTCCTCCTCCTCCTCCTCCCTCCTCCCTGACCTCTCCCTCCCCGCCTCCGCCGCCTCCTCCCAGGCTCTTCTCCCCGCGCCTCCTGCTCCCCCCTTCTCCTTCTGCATCCCCCTCCCCCTTGCTCCCCGGTCGTCCGCCCCCCCCTCTGCTCTCCTCTCGCCGCCTCTCGCCCTGCCTCCCTCCCGCCGCTCCTCCGCAGCCCGCGCCGGCCAGAAGGGGCTGTTTGCCTCTGCCGCGGCCTCGGTCGTGGGCGCCGCACGGCGCCCAGCCCGACTCGGGTGGCTGCGTTGCACCTTCGGGGGGGCCTCGTCCCCAGACATGATGGCGTCGTTTCAAAACAGGGCGGGAGGTTTTTTGGACAATTTCGGCCTCGGGGGGCCCTCGCCGGGCCTCGGGACCTCCAACAAAAACGGCTCAGGATGTAAAAAGGGGTCCCAGGGAAAGGGTTGGAACTTCCAGGGACCCCGTATTGAAAAAATCAGGACGTCGCACGTCTGGGTCTGTCCCAAATATTGGTGTCTTCTCTCGTGCCCGATGCGGGCTCGATGCGGACTCGGTGCGGACTTGGTGCGGATTCGACGCGGATTCGGGGCGCATCCGGCGAATCCGACATCGATTCGACACGGGTTCGACGCGGATAGGGCCGCGACGGGACAGACAAGGTCACCCCGAAGATGCAACATAATCGGGTGAGCCATGTTCAAGAACACGTACCAGTCCGGTTTCTTGTCCGTCCTGTACTCGATCGGAAGCAAGCCTCTGCAAATCTGGGACAAGAAGGTCCGCAACGGGCACATCAAGCGCCTCACGGATGCCGACATCCAGTCCAGCGTGCTCGAGATCATGGGCACGAATGTGAGCACCACGTTTATCGAATGCCCCGCTGACCCGAAGCAAACACTCGGGATCAAGCTGCCATTCCTAGTGATGATCATCAAGAATCTGAAGAAGTACTTCACCTTCGAGGTCACCGTGCTCGACGACAAGGAAGTGAGGCGCCGCTTCCGCGCGTCGAACTACCAGAGCACCACCCGCGTGAAGCCCTTCATCTGCACCATGCCGATGCGCTTGGACGAGGGCTGGAACCAGATCCAGTTCAACCTATCGGACTTCACCCGGCGCGCGTATGGCACGAACTACATCGAGACCCTCCGCCTGCAGCTGCACGCGAATTGCCGAATCCGCAGGATCTACTTCTCCGACAGGCCAGGCCTCATGTCGATCTCATCGATCGGATTCGATCTCGAGGTCAGCTGGTCCGATCCAACCCGATTCTGATAGCCCGACGATGCGGCCCGATGCTCGCATGGCGCTGTCGTGCCTCCCGGCGCAACTGATCCAATTCGATCTTGACCCCGTGCCAGTGCAGCCCAATCCGACGCGCACTCCGCTTCGATCCGACTTCCCGAGCCCACGCTTCACGAATCCTGGCAGGCTCTACAGCGAGGAGGAGCTGCCCCCGGAGTTCAAGCTCTTCCTGCCCGTGGCCAAGAAGGGCGGAGCGGACACGGCGGCCGCGGGGGCGACGGCGGCCGCGTGAGAGCCCTCCGGCCCGGCGTGCCCCGGCCCCCTCCCTCCGCCTGCGGACCGCCGAAACCTGCGCGGTCTGAGCTGGCGGCCGAGGGGGGCTCACGGCCTGGGGGCGCCGGCTCCGCGTGTCGCGCCGCTGGCTTGAAGTCGGGCCTGTCCCCCTACAGGGGGATTTTCGACGAAAAATAAACATACCCCCAAAACAGTCCAAAAATAATCCAAAAAGAGTATGGGGACGTTTTTTTTTTTTTTGTTGTTGTTTTGCATTTTTGGTGTGTTTTTTGGGGGTATTTTTGTTTTTCGTCGACAAGGTCCCCCCTATAGGGGGACAGGCCCGACACAACGCGGGCTCTGGCCCACGGCGCTCTCCGGCGCGCCGCGCCGGCCACGCCCGCGTGCCCGGGCGTCGGGCGCCCCGAGCGTCTCGAAGCCTCTCGCCCCGCGAAGCGGAGCGGCACGCCGTCGGCTTGCAGGGCGCAGCGCGTCGCCAGGGTCTCTGGATCCAGGGCCGCCGCCGCGACACGATCCGTCAGAGTTCTCGGCCGCAGACCGGGGGCGTAGCCTGCCGGCCTCCGCCTTTCGGCCGTGCCGACTGCTGCTCGCCGTGCTGCTCTCAGAGGAGGAGGGAAAGAATGCCGATGCCGACGCCGCCGATACCCTTCCCCGTTCTCTCGCTTTCGCCTTTTTGGTCCTCTTGGGGGCCTTGGTCACCATGGCTGGATTCGCCTCAGAAGTCTGAACAGAGCGCACCCCGGGACAGATCTGAGATCTGGGATGTGTCCACCTCCACTTTCGCCTCCGGCTCAGCACCCTCCTCGGCGTCCTCCTCCTCGTTCTTGTCAAGTGTAGCTCACGAGAGATGTGCTAGTCTGCTAGTTATTTGCGAATGCGCTAGAACGCGCGTTCTTTACATCAGCCAGCTGTGCCAACGTCATGGTCGGTCATTGTAGTTTGTTTTAAAGCGGAACTTAGTATGCATTTGAGGGGTTTATGGTCGATCCCTTTTCGAGTGTACGCAGTGCGCAGCAACATTGACTTAACTGGTGATTTGCTCTGGTTCCGAGCCCCAGCCTTGCCATGCGTCTTTCTCAGAGTCCAGTTGTTCAAGCTGTTGAGAAGTATAGCGCGCCGAGTTCCAGTAGGTTTCGCAGACGTGGGGGGATCCCCCAGACCCGGTCAGCCCAATAAGGACGAGGTTTAGACACGCGAGTTCGAGCCACTGCTTGATAGTACTAGGACAATTATTTAACTCGCTGGCTTCTTTGGAGTTACTTTTTCCTAAGCTCACGTCTACGTGTAACATGTTGCCATCCTCACGCAGCCACGCTTGCTCGGGGTTGGCCTCCGAGGCGGGTGCGTCAGCGGACAGACCTCTTCTACCCGGGCGATCGGAGGAGGAATAGGAGGAATAGTTCGATGATTTGAGGAACATGAGCGCGAAGGCGAGGACCAGGAGGGCACCGTGCTGCGTTTAGGTTCGTGGTTGAGTTCGTGTGTCGTCGCTCCAGATACGCCGCCCACGTCGCCTCGCTTTGGCTTGCGTGGTAGGCTTCAGAATTGCAAGATGAGGGAAACAGGTGCTCGCTCCACCTGCGCCCCCTGGTACTCCCCCTCCTTCCTCTGGTGCTCCTCATCCACTCTTCTGCGGAGCCATCCAGCACCCTTCGAATACCGCAGACACACGTTTGCGTCGGCGGCTGGCGCTGGCGGGTGAAGCAAAACGGGGTGCGTTAGGCGAATTCAGCCACCATGCAGAGGGGGGAGGGAGAGCCTAAGATCCGACGTCTCGAACAAGTTGAAACATCATGAAGGATCACGGCTGGAGCCCTAGACCCCTAGTCCCCATCTTTCTGGAACCTTTTTTGTGGCCGGATCGATCTGTGAGTGTCCTGGGGCTGGACAAAAGTCGAACACGCGGGGCTTGAATAAATCGAGACGCCATGATCTCAGGGGAGCGAGACGCGCGGGCCCAGGATGGAGACTAGGAGGAGCTGGGCCCGCTCAGAGCAGCCCAGGGGTGTGGCGGGGCTGGCGCCAGGGACCCACAACAACAACATGCGGTCCTCCTCTTCTCCTCCTCCTCCTCCTGCTCCTGCTCCTGCTCCTCCTCCCTCACCTCCTCCTCCTCCTCCTCCTCCTCCTCCTCCTCCTCCTCCTCCTCCTCCTCCTCCTCCTCCTCCCCCACCTCCTCCTCCTCCTCCTCCTCCGCCTGGCCCCGTTGCAGCCCTTGTGGCCCCCTCGCTGCCCTTCGTGGCCCCGTTGCAGCCCTTCGTGGCCCCCTCGCTGCCCTTCGTGGCCCCGTTGCAGCCTTTCGTGGCCCCCTTTTGCCCTTCGTGGCCCCGTTGCAGCCCTTCGTGGCCCCGTTGCAGCCCTTCGTGGCCCCGTTGCTGCCCTTCGTGGCCCCGTTGCAGCCCTTCGTGGCCCCGTTGCTGCCCTTCGTGGCCCCGTTGCAGCCCTTCGTGGCCCCCTCGCTGCCCTTCGTGGCCCCGTTGCAGCCCTTCGTGGCCCCCTCGCTGCCCTTCGTGACCCCATATATGTATGCCCCTCGTGGCCCCCGCTCGTTCGAGCCCGTCGTGGCCCCATACGCATGCCCTTCGTGGCCCCGCTGTCGCCCTTCGTGGCCTCCTCGCTGCCCTTCGTGGTCCCGTCGCTGCCCTCAGTGGCCCGCCCTTGCCTTCTGCGGCCCAGTATAAGTATGCCCTTCGTGGCCCTCGCTCGTTCGCGCCCGTCGTCGCCCCATATGCATGCCCTTCGTGGCCACGTTGTCGCCCTTTGTGGCCCCCTCGCTGCCCTGCGTGGCCCCGTTGCTACTCTCACTGGCCCTGTCGTTGCCCGTCTGTGGCCCCGCATTACCTGTCCTTCTTGGCCCCCGCTCTTTCGCGCCTTTCGTGGCCCCATACGCATGCCCTTCGTGGCCCCGCTGTTGCCCTTCGTGGCCCCCTTGCTGCCCTTCGTGGCCCCATCACTGCCCTTCGCGGCCCTCTGTCGCTCTCGCTTTCGCTCGCGCTTTCGCTCGTCGTCGTCATCGTCGTCGTGGTCGGTCTCCTGTCCGTCCCTCTTGGGATCGGGTTGCCGGCGGTCAGCGTTGCCGCTGGCCAGGCCGACGGTCCGCGGCCGCCCCGCCGCTTGCGGGGGCCCGGCGTGCAGGGAAGACAGATCTACCCCACAAAGGGGGTACGATCGAAGACGAAGAGGTCGGGCATCGAGGGTTTGGGAAATACACGTTGAATGACCCTCGAGCAGACAAGAGCGAACCGTCTTAACATGCTTGTTGTTGTTGCTGCTGTTGTTGTGGTGTTGGTAGTTGCGATTGCTGTTGTTGCCGTTACTGTCGTGGTTGTTGTTATCGTTGCCATGTGTGTTGATGTTGTTGGTGTTGCTATGGTTGTTGTTTTTGTTATTGGTTTGTTGTTGTTGTGGTTGTTGTTGTTGTTGTTGTGGTTGTTGTTGTTGTGGTTGTCGTTGTGGTTGTTGTTCTTGTTGGTGTTGTTGATGCTGTTGTTATTATTGTAGTAGTCGCTGTTGTTGTTGCTACTGTTGTTAGTGTTAGTGTTAGTAGTAGTGCTGTTGCTGCTGCTGCTGTTGATACTCGTCTTCTCGTTGTTCTAGGGGAGGGGTGGGGACATTGGAAAGCTGTGTGGTCGGAACGTCGGAGCATGGACGATTGATTTGGGGGGTGGGGGCATTCATGTGAGTAGAAAGCCGACTGGGGTGAGCTGGCTCGAAGGCGCTGTGCAGTGCACCCACAGCTGCAGCCGAAGCAACAGCTGAAGTGCACAGAAACACTCAACTAGCCCACCCTGCAGGCACGGAGGGGTGGAGGATGGAGGGAAGGAGCGGCAGACGCTCCTCCTGCCTTGCCCCTCCTCTTTCCCGTTCGCGCCCCTGGCACCTCGTCACACCAGGAAGGGCAAGTCAGCCTAGTCCCTGGCCCTTCTTCGACCTCGTACTGGACGGCAGATGCTTGGCGATCTCTTCGCGGATGCACCCGCCGAGGAGGTGAATCTCTCTCTCTCTCTCTATATATATGTATATATATATATATATGCAGGTGTGTATATATACAAATGTACACATATCGGCTTTCTGTTCTCCACCTCGTGTTGGCATTCATCGGGGATGTGCCCGAGCCTCAAGCTTTGTCCTTCAGGCTTTCGCCTGATCCCGCGCCAGCGTCGCCAGCATCGCTCGCCCGCTCTCGGCCGCACCCCTGGGCAGATATACCCTCGCACCTCGTCGCTCCTCCCCTCCTCCCTTCGCCATCCTGTTCCATAGCCATTTCGGCTCAAGCGCTCAGGGCGCCTGGCTCTCTGCATGCTTCGAGGGCCCTCGAGGCTGATGCTATGACGGCCGTCTCACTGGAAGAGGAGGCAGCGGCCGATGGCGAGGAGGTGGAGCTGGATGACGACTACGCGGACGGAGAAGAGGCTGGCGAAGAGGTCATTTTGGAGGATACAACCGCGGGCACATACAACCACTGCAGGTCTGGCGCTTGATTATTGGCCTCGCGTTGTTTCCTTTTTTGCGTCGTGGCTTCAGCCGCGGTGTGTGAAGACCTCGGTGTTGCCGCGCAGTTCTTTCCAATTGGTGGGCGCACGCATAAGATGCAGCCGCTGCCACACATTGTAAGCCTTCCTCCTAACTGGCGCCCAAGTGGGAATGTCTTGATCGTTAGGTCTTAGAGCCCCCCCCCGCATGGTCGGACCCTTTGCGGCAGATGCTCCAGGTTTGTTCGGAGGTCCGTTTCTGCTGCCTCGCATACCCGCTACCATGCTTTTTTCCATTGTTGCATGTGTGTGTGTGTGTGTGTGTGTACGTGTGTGGGTGGGTGGGGGGGGGGGGGGGCAACGGGGCATTCGGGAATGCGCTGCGGGTGCGGCGAGGATCCGCGAAAGGCTCCCCACAGTTGCAGCGAGTATCGCTTTGGGCATCAGCTTCTTCTGTCGAGAGCTCAAGAGCCTAAACTCGGCGCCGAACAAGAGGGGCACGTGAGAAGGAGGAGGCCTTCTGAGAAGGCTCGGGAGTCCCCCAGTCTTCTGAGAAATTCTCTAAGCCTTCCGCGAAGACACAGACAACTTTTCAGGAGGCGCGAGGGCTTCTGAGAAGTCCTGCCGCCTTCTGAGAAGGCCTCCTCCTCACTTCCCCCCTCGCTCGCCGCCAACAAGAGCCCAAAGGGACACCTCCATGAATACTGGACTCGTGCGAGCCCCGATGCGGTGGCGGGGAGTTCGATGCCCAGCGCTTTCCTGCTCTCGGATGCGCCCGTCCCTGGCACGGGATGTGCGTGTAAGAGTGCCGAAGCAGTGGGGCAGCTTCGGGCCTGGGAAACCAGTTTTCGGGGCCTTCGGAGGATTGGGTTCCAGGCTAGGAGGAGGAGGACCATTTGGACCATGTGACCAAGCACAGGGTCGTGCGGGGGGGGGAGCAAGGGAGAGGAAGGCAGAACCCCGAACGGAGGTGCTTTGGTGCAGGCGGAACCCCGCCTCACCGCCACACCACCGCAACCGCTGCTGGCCAGTTAGCCCTCCGCAGGAGGGCCAACTACCCAGCAGCGGCGGACGGTCCTCCGTCCCCTCCCAGGGGCACAGCGGCCCTCTCGTACGCTCTCGCCAGGCTTCCGAGGTCACTCGCATCGAGGGCAG